GCGCCAGAGCCCGCTGATCCTGCGCCAGAGCCCGCTGATCCTGCGCCAGAGCCCGCTGATCCTGCGCCAGAGCCCGCTGATCCTGCGCCAGAGCCCGCTGATCCTGCGCCAGAGCCCGCTGATCCTGCGCCAGAGCCCGCTGATCCTGCGCCAGAGCCCGCTGATCCTGCGCCAGAGACGATTCACGTCCAGCCTGCCCAGCCAGAGACGATTCACGTCATGCCTGCCCAGCCAGAGATGGTTCACGTCATGCCTGCCCAGCCTGAGATGATTCACGTCATGCCTGCCCAGCCTGAGACAGATCCGTCCTGCATCAAGCCTTCGCCGCTGGTCCCGTCCAGCCCAGAGCTTCCTTCGCCGCTGGTCCCGTCCAGCCCTGAGCTTCCTTCGCCGCTGGTCCCGTCCAGCCCTGAGCTTCCTTCGCCGCTGGTCCCGTCCAGTCCTGAGCTTCTTTCGCCGCTGGTTCCGTCCAGCCCAGAGACCCCTTCGCCGCTGGTTCCGTCCAGCCCAGAGACCCCTTCGCCGCTGGTTCCGTCCAGCCCAGAGACCCCTTCGCCGCTGGTTCCGTCCAGCCCAGAGACCCCTTCACCGCTGGTTCCGTCCAGCCCAGAGACCCCTTCACCGCTGGTTCCGTCCAGCCCAGAGACCCCTTCACCGCTGGTTCCGTCCAGCCCAGAGACCCCTTCACCGCTGGTTCCGTCCAGCCCAGAGACTAGTAATGACTCTGTCACTCTCCCCATTAAATTTTTGGGGGGGGGCCATAGGGCTCCGCCATGGCCGCCCGAAGGGCCTCCATCGCCATGGCCACCCGAAGGGTCCGCACCGCCATGGCCACCCGAAGGGTCCGCACCGCCATGGCCGCCCGAAGGGCCTCCATCGCCATGGCCGCCCGAAGGGTCCGCACCGCCATGGCCGCCCGAAGGGTCCGCACCGCCATGGCCGCCCGAAGGGTCCGCACCGCCATGGCCGCCCGAAGGGTCCCCACCGCCCTGGCCACGCCCATGTCCTGCTCCGCCCTGGTCGCCTTCACGTCCTGCTCCGCCCTGGCCGCCTGCACGTTCTGCCCCGGCCTGGCCGCCTGCACGTCCTGCCCCGGCCTGGCCGCCTGCACTTCCTGATCCGCCCTGGAGGCTTCCCGTCCCAGTTTGGCCACGCCCTGGCCAGCCTTCAGGGCGCCCGCCCCCCCACCCCATTGATGTTCTACGGCGCGAGGTCGCGCCTTGTTGAAGGGGGGCGTTCTGTCACAGTCTTCGTCTGCACCTGTCTGTCTTAGTCATCTTCACTACACTTCCCAGAATCCTCCTCGTCTCCACACCTGTATTCACTCCCTCACTTACCAGCCTGTCCCTCGTTATCATCATCAGTGTCACCTGTTTTCACCTTGTTATGTCTGATTCATGCTTGTATTTAGGTTGCTTCTGTTCAGTCTGTCCTTGTCGGTCGTTGTACATGTTACGCGTCTTTGTTTAGTCTTATATAGTCGTGTTAGTGTGTTATCTGCCTGCCTGAACCCTTCTGTTTGTACCTGCCTGTTATTATTTTTGAGTAAATTGTTGCAATTGGAGCTTTTGCCTGTGAGTCCTTCTTCAACCCACACACACCGTGACACTCACGGTTGCTGAATGTCGCGCAACAACATTGCGCAGCCCTGTCGCATCTTACAATTCTACGTTGTTACAACGTAGAATTGCATGCACGTAGACAGTGACGTTGCCACAGCAGAAATGCAACGTGCCACAGACGTTGTCACAACGTAAATGTGTTTGCTGGGAATGTACTGTACTGTCAAGGAAATCTATAATACTTAATAATACTTCGACGCTGCATCTGCTATAAACTTGGGGAAGCACGAAGCATGTAGCGCGTGGTGAAGGCTGAAAACAATGGAACCTAGCAAATGCTTCAGGAAGTGTGTGCCTCTGTGTCTTAATATTCTGACACATGAGGACACGTAAACTTTTTTATGCTTTTTTATGCTTGGGAGAGAAGCATGCACATTCAGCACTCAAGAGCGCTGGATGCGGCCATTGTGATACATTCACAAGGAAGCTCCACTCCGCTCATGCTTGGCTCTCTTCTTGAGGGACCTCGATCTGGTCCATCTGTCGTTTGAGGCACAGCGATGAATAAAGTCATGAGGTTCGCGGGTCGAGCTGATTGAGGAATTTGAAAGATGAATTGATGCTGGCGAGCATGCTGCTGGCACCATCTAGCCATGATGAGGTGGGTGTGGTAGGAGAAAGCGAAGATAGTATTTGTAATGAGCCTTCTGCCAGCTCCACGTCTGAAGAGCTTTCGGGTGTTATGGCCCATGCCACAGCCAGATTGGATCTGGTATGGAGATGTGAGAAACAGGAAGTCGCTCTGGGTAGACTCAAAGAGTGGTTTCTGTCAGGCCACAATCGTCCCTCCACCATGAGCCTTCCATTTCTTACAGAGCTCCTTGGGGAAGTGGAGAAATCTTGGAAGAAACTGTATTCATCTTGTGGTTTTCTGTTCCAACATAGCAATTATGCAAATTTGGATGGTTAACCCTCTGGGGTCTAAGGTGTTTTTGGGGTCCTTGAGATGTTTTGACATGCCCTGACATTTGTGCTTTTTTTCAGTTGCTTATAAACATATTAATGGCACAGGTGTAATTACACTCTATTTAACACAAACAGGGCTACCATAATATGTGAGCAACATGTATGTACATATTTGTATTTTTGAGATAATATTGTTTATGCATGGTTATTGAAAAAACAAAAAATTAAAGTTTCTGAAATAAGGCCACAAAACACATATTGATTATTTCTTCACAAGACTTTTGAAAATTGTATCACATAGCCTAGAATATTTGCTCCAAAACTATGTGAGAATCATCCTGACTACTCATTCAGATAAGACAATAAAGTATTTTTACATTTTTAATGACGTGTTTTGTGTCAGAAAGCTTTATGCGAGGAGGCGTGATCTCTCATTAATATGTATGCATTTCACACCTGAGAAAGACAAAGACCCTCCCATAATGGCCCTATTAGGTGCTATCAGGCCATATCATTATGAGGAGCCTTGCACAAAGAATGAGGATATTTAAAAAAGAATGGCTTTTAGATTGTTTGGATTTATTTACAACACAACATAATCCAAAGATACACAACAAAGGACAAAAAAGCACATTAGTAAACACACTGATCTAAAGACAGAGGCTTGAACAGTCACACAACTTTGTGCCATTGAAACATAGTACATACCTGTCATTTCCAAGGTGTTTGATTTTTCATTTTACCATGTTCATGTACAGAGACTGTTGAATGTTGAAGTCAGCAGGACTCATCAGTGGCATCTCTCCCTGTAAAAAAAAAAAAAAAATAAACAAAAAAAAATAAACACCTTTGAACATGCTGATATCAAGAGAAACTATATGGCTGCACGGCTTTGGGCATGCATTGTAGATTTTTCGGGTTAAATTTGCGATTTAATTATATATATATATACAGGGTGCGATTTGTGAAAAAAACAGAGGGGGGATGTTTTGAAAAAGTTTTATTCATAAAAATAAATCATGAGAACATGAACTTCATCACTGCATTTGCAGGAATTGTAAAATCTTTTTTCTTATTAACTCATGAAGTAGCCTAACGCAATATTTTTACTCTAATAGCTTATGTGAACTGTGATCACGCACAACGAAAAAACACGCAAGAATTAAATCCCCCTCCCAGTACCATGGATAGTGCCACTAGGCTTGACATGTCAAAAGACTTATTTATGAATGGCAAAATTAAATAGCACAACGTAGTGTCAACTTAAACATAAATAGGCTATAGTGTAGGCCAGGGGTCGGCAACAGGCGGCCCGCGGGCCAAAACTGGCCCGCCAGCAATATTTTCTGGCCCGCCGGATTATTTTGGAAGTCCGTTTTTTTTTTTTTTTTTTTTTTTTTTTTTTTTTACTATAACGGTTTACAAATAGAACGAATGTGTATCATTCGTTCAATCGTTTTTTTCTTCAAATTAAAACCAAAAATAAAAAAATGAAAAACAACTTGTTTTTGAGATTTGAGATTCTGAAAACGAGATCTAAATTTTTAAAGCAGTGAACACAGAGTGTATTTTAAGCGGTTGCTGAATAGAACCTTGTGGGAGCGGGACGGAAACCTTAAACCTCCTTAAACCTTAGGTGTGTAGCCTATGTGTGTCCCGAATAAATAATAATTTAAAAAAGGAATAAAGTTCAAAAGTTGGACTGTAAGCGAATGAGGCATGATTGCTATTCACACCTTTATTAAAATGGCTGTAATCTGTTACCACAATAGTACTTGATCTGTTTAAAATGATTTCATTGATATATATGGCATGCTTACTAAGGTGTTAAATTAAAAAGCAAAATTAAAATTTGACTAATCCAGTAATACATTTTTTCTATTTTTGATCTGAGCACACAATCAAAAAATCAGAAAACCCGTCATTATTCGTTTTTTCATTTTAGTTCAGGAAATAAATAACGGAAAAACAAGTCGTTTTTATTTTATTTTTTTATTAGGTTTTAATTTGAAAAAATTATTGTGAAACGAATGAAAAATGAACAAATGATGAACGAATGATACACGGACACATCATATTCCACGATTATAGGCCTACTGCGGGCGCAAACAGACAAAGAAACACCAGAACAACCATTTTTTTTTGCAATTTTTAATGTCGTCTTTTAAATCTGAAATAAAGACAATGTTGCTTGACAAAAGATTGGATAGCCTATACTAGGCTAATTCAAAAGAGGGGGTAATTATTGGACGAATAATGTGTGGCAACAGCAGCTTAACAGTAGCACATATTTCGAACATTCATGAACAGAAACAAAACTATTCGGCCTAAAAAAAACGGAACATGGATTATCCAGGTCTATCCACCTGGAAACGACATGAAGAATAATATTTCAGAACAATTATAGTGACATTTCAAAATGCAATCTGACAATTAAATATAATTTGCTATCGATAGAGTTAGGCTACTCACTTAATGTGAAAACTGGCATCCTTGCCTGGCATTCGTCACAATGCTTCGGATGTCTGGTGTTACAGTTGTCACTGAAATCCGCAGGCAGTTCTCGAGGTTTTTGTGCGTCAGTCGATTCCTCTCATACGTCTTTATTGCATTCATTGATGAGAAGGCAGACTCGCATGTATAGGTGGAAGGGAACATTGTCAACACATAAAACGCAAGGTTCTTGATTGTGCTGTACTCCTCTGAGCATGCCACCCAAAAGGCACTCAGGGACTCTGCAGATCTGAATGCATCTTTGATCAGAGAGGTTGTTTGGAAATCAATTAACTCCATCTCAAATTTAGCCTCATCCAAGGAAGGGACGATTGTTTTGACCAGGGTGGAGAGTTCTCCGCTAGATCGGGTTGTGAGAGGGTCACGCACAAAAGCAATTACTTCATTCAGGACGGAGAAGTCCTCCAACCTAGAAGAGAAGTTGGCTCGGAGTTGCTTGATGAAGTCTACCATCAGTCCCGTCACTCGTCTTGCCTGTGTTTTTAGAGTACTAAAATGTAGGAGCCTGCCAGTTGATATGTCGGACTCTAACAACCCCAGTTTGACGGTGAATGCTTGGAGCTTTTCAACCATGTCCACGATGGTTTTGTCTTTTCCCTGTAGCTGCATGTTAAGATTGTTTAAATGGCCAAATATGTCAGCTAAAAATGCAACATTGGACATGAACTTCTCGTCCTCCAGAAAGGCAAGGTAATCTGCTGCTGCCTTACTCTTGCTAGATATAAGGAATGCCTTCACCTCACCCAGTAGCGCACAGAAGCGCTCCAACGCTTTGCCCTTGCTTAGCCAGCGCACGTCATTGTGCAGCAGCAGGTCGTCGTGGGTGGCCTCCTCTGAATCTGCCACAAGCTGTCGGAAAAGCCGATGCTGGGTGCTTGATGTACCCCTGACAAAATTGATGACACGCATCACTTTATCCATAACTACCTTCAGCTCACCACTGAGCTTTGCACAAAGTACACTCTGGTGGATAAGACAATGCAGCCCATGCATTTGGGGGGCGATCTCCTTCAACCTGCTCACCAAACCTCTGTGTTTACCCACCATAGCAGGGGCCCCATCTGTCACGAGTAGGTTGACTTTCTCAAATGACAATGAAAGCCGTTCAAACACTTTTGACAGTTCAGTGAATATAATATCTCCAGTGGTGTTCCCCTCCAAAGGAATAAGAGACAGCAAATCTTCTCTAAACTGCTTCCCATCAAAATACCTGACAAAGACACACATCTGGGCAACATCTGTGTTGTCAGTGCTCTCGTCTACCGCTAAGGAGAAGTAATTAGCCTTATTGAGATCACTGATAACGACTCCCTGCACAGCATCAGACAACGCCTCTATGCGGCGGGTAGCGGACCTTGCAGAAAGGGGCACCTGTTTGACAGAGGCAATGATTCCATCCATGGACTTGTCAACAGCCAATTCCTCCAACACTGCAACCATGACTTCTTTAAAAAGCTCTGCGTCGGTGAAAGGCCTGTTGTTTCTTGCGAGCAACCAAGACGCTTTTAGAGACGCACTTGTCGCTTTTTGTTGCGAGGTGAAACCTCGATCCTGCTGCCCTGAGCATAGCCTTGTGCCAGCGCTTCGATTTTGCACTTTCGTGTCTCTGTTTGAAGTGGATAGGCAACCTTGAAGCTGCCATGCTTTGTCTCATGGTGCCGTCGTATGTTGTATTCTTTGGAAACAGCGACAACTTCTTTGCAAATCAGACACACCGCCTTTGCATTTTTGAAATCCGGTAAAATGAACGCAAAACTCTCTTTCCATTCCTCTCTAAAGGCTCTATTTTCATCGTCAACTTTTCTCTTAAGACCTTTGGACAAAGACATTTTATTCCAGCTACCTCTTAGCTAACTTCACTCTGCACACTAATCACTTGTAGGCCTACGTAACAACCAGGGTTCAAATTATAATTTCATCTTTGTGGGGGTCTTTTTTAACCTGTTAACTGGCACCCCCCTTTTTTTTGCATAGACATAAAAATCACTATCCAAACTTAAATGGTTGTAATTCAGGAATGCTTTGGAATATAGACCTATGGCTGGTCTTGTTTTAAAGAAGACATTTTCCAGATTATTGTAGAAGTCCAGAAATTGTAAAAAATTAAACAGAAAAAAAGTTATATAAGTTTGAGTTTATGAAATTGTGTAATGTAAAAATATAATGATTAATATTTTATATAAAATATATATATTACAAAATATATTTTACTCTAAAACTGCAAGAAAATTAAAGTCAAATATCTGAACAAGTTGTATTCCAAATTTTAGGTTGATATCTCAAAAAATGAGCTTTCAGTAAGATTTTATTCGGGCGCAGTACCCAACTTTTTCACTAGGTGAACACCAGACTCCATTGCTGCCCATATAAGGGCGCCTCCATTTTCATATGTTTTGAGTGATCTGAACCATGTATTTCCATAATTTTCATACAATTTATGAAGTAGACATCCTATTCAGAAGTAGTAGGGGTGGTTTGGCAGTATTTGATTTGAATTAAACCTCTAATAAATGCATAAAGACTACGTTATAGCGTTATAGCTCGCAGCCGCATTACAAATCGAGAATCCATACATTTTTCTTTATATTTAAAACATTTTCAGAACTTTTTTTCTCATAAAATGGAATTGGTGTTATCTTTTGAACTCATGGCATGAAAACAAACTGAGGTTTCTACCAATCTTTCATGATTTTTCATGTTTATTGTTATTTCAAAATAAAGGCCTAAATACTCCTAATGAATATGAAATATTCTTGTTGCAAATTGATAAATTTCTGCTCCTCTGTAATATATTTTAGATAACAGCCACCAAATATGAAAACTAGAGATTTTAAGCTTTCAAATGATATATAGTTTGGCAATATTACTTTAGGTTTTTACTAAGATATTATTGTTTTAAACATGCAATGGCAAATGGGCCCGCCGGCGGGCCCAGAGAAAAAAGTAGCCTATGAGCAGGCACGGTGTGTGTGATAAATAAATTGCTTAACACTGGCGTAACTTTGTTTTAAAAAGTTAGTGAGTGAGTGGGGGTTGGTAATACAATGCTAAATCAGATATATGTACAATAACATGTCCAACAATCGATTTAAATAGTACATGGGGTTTAATTTATCGTTAATGAGGTGTATCCGCGGCGTTTATTTCTCGTGTGCTTAAATGGTCCAGTGGTAGAACTTTCGTCAATCTTTAAAAGGTTCTTGGTTCTAATCTGCATTCATATAGTTTTTTTTTTCTTTCTTTTTTTTCTTCATCCAAACTGATTATGCTCATCAGTGGTTGTATATCAAGTAGTAGGGACACGTTTGTGTGCATTATATTTTGTGATTTCACCGTAACGAATAGGGCAATAGGCCTCTTCCATGTAGCTGGCCCGCCATCTACTGGATAAAAAAAATATTGGCCCGCGGCCAAAGTTACTTGCCGACCCCTGGTGTAGGCCTTTGCATCATACTAGGAAAACAGTCTTTTTCTGCTTTCCTGTGGGAAAATCCGCAGCTTTCCAGTGGGTGGTCCATTTCGGATTTTATTGTAGATCGCACTGACAGTTCACATTACAGCGCTTTACTTAGTTTGGGCTAGGCTACTTCTATCAGTCTGCGGAACCATGGATGGATTGCAAAGTTAAACCATCACAGTAGAAACAGTTGTACTGCTGTTAAAGTAACAACGTTAACGTTACATCGCGATGCTGAGCTAGAGTGAAATGATAGAAAAGACAGATGCATTATCTGTGTCAATTCACATCTACCGCGCCGCGCTAAACGCCTCCGACACACAGCTCCACTGACCAGTCTCCCAGGTGTTGATAGGCTATTACTCGTGAGGAGTAACCAATCAGATAGCGCCGTGGGCGGGACATTGAGCAAGTCAGAGCCAGCCGAAGGAGCGCATTTTAAAATAAAATTGACTTTAATCAAACCACGGACCCGTGATAAGTTTTGTGATCCGTCTCCCCACTATTGTAGTAGCACTGATCACTTTGAGGGGGGGGGGGGGGGAAATAATTAAGCAGAGGCAGGGATACTTTGACCAAAAAGGGGGAAATCCCACGCATCCCCCCCCCCCCCCTGTGAACCTCATAGTCGAATAGTAGGGAAGTGTTATGAGGGGTGTGACGGTTATTATATAACCATGAGACCGACGGTTATAGTTGAACACCGTCATTAGAACTCTATAACTCTATATTTTTTACAAACATTTTTTATCATAGAGAATGTTTAAATACTAATATCATCTTACGAGGGAAGCGGAGGCGGAGTTAGTGGTGCGTCGGAGGCTGAGTGCTGGAGATGATTTGGGAGAGGTCTGTTCACCTTTACCGATCAGAGCGCGTGCTGACACGGAGTAAAGCCTTGTTTATACTCGACGCGTCCGCACGACCGCGAAGGTGCACACGGCAAAAAATGACGCGTTGGGTGCGCAAGACCGGCAAGACCCCATTTAGCTTGGCTGTGTGCACAGCTTTTTTTGTAACAGCGCGCGACGCCGCATCCGAGGATGAACGACTTCAAGCCGAATCTGCCCGCGCATGTAGGCTACGTCTCACTGCACCGGGACGCTGTTTGCGCGTCTAAATTGCAAAGTTCATTGCAAAGTTTTTTTGTTAAGGTTTTTTTTACTGTGTGTGATTTATTTTTAAAACAAAGCACGTTCATTGCAACGTTTTTTGTTGTTGTTAAGGATTCATTTAATGGAAAGCACATTCACTTCTAGTTGTCTTGCTGTTCATTTTAAATAAAAGTAGAGCGAGTTGTCCTATAACAGACGAACAGTTATTCAACCGAACGTCTAGCTAGCTGCTATCTAAAAAAAAAAAAGGTTCGACTATCAGTCGACTACGGCAAAATCTAACGAATCAGATTCGACTATGAAAATCCTTAGTCGAAAACAGCCCTAATATAGACACACACAGTGCTTAGAATAAGTGAACACACCCATGCTAAAGTTGACTACCCTTCACAATATAGACATGGTTTTATTTCAGGTAGCCTAACTGAACATTTATACATAAATAATATATTGTATTTAGACAGTATCACATACTTTACCGGAGGCTGAAATACATTTCACTAAATCATTATATAACCTAAGCAGTTATTCGCAAACAAAATAAATTACGCATAAAGCAGTATTTTAGCATGATAATCAGTGTCATAAACTAATCTCAAAACTGAGTGAAATATATGTAGTAGGCTAATATCACATTTAAAAAGTTTACACGAGCGTATAGGCCTACGTATAGGGATATTGTGACTTTGAGGTAGTCTTTCCTATGTCAAAAGCTAGCCAAAACTAGGCAAAATATAGTCTGAAAATTCATTTGAGCTCCAAAATCAGAAAATGAATTATATAACACTAAACAACTTACTCCGAACTTGTATCCTCGGGAGGGGGCAATTCGTTCTTCAAAATGCAGCCGTTCGTCGTCCGAGTTTCAAATTCCTCTGAGGAAAAGGTGAATCCTTCCTCGCTATCCAGAATCATCTGAAGGAGTAGCGTGCCATTCTCAAAATAAGATGTACTATCAGTGAATCTGATGAAGAAACGTGTTTGTATGCCATTGATCACTGCTGGGCGTGTGCAATGCATAACGTTAGATCACCTATTTACCATGTGAAAAGCTCTGGGGGCGTGGCGGCCTCAGCTCATTAAAGACAATGAAGGGAGAACGAAAAAACTGTACCTCTCCTTGGTTTCAAACGGATTACATAAACTGGAAATATATATATATTTTAAATAAATTACTTCATTTAAGGAAGCAGGGATATGTGAAGATGCCCCCTGTTGAATAGAGGCTAGCTAGCTGGCTATCTCTCACAGGACGAGTGTGACGTGTGGTCTTACTTGGGCAGTCTGTTTACCGTGTGGGGAGTTCATAGCACAGGGAATAAATCAATCCCATAGCATGTCTCATTAACTCTGCTTTATTTAAACTGTTCTCTTTTTCAAATCCTTTTAAATCAATGACATCTTTTAGTTTTGTAATCGTATAGTGATCCATTATGGAGAGGCAAATAAACACAGGAAGTGCTCAAAATACATTGTTTCAGACATTGCTCAGAGTAGCATAAGCTAGAATAGGAAGGGATTAAAGGAAAGTGAAAGCATAGTTTCCTTTCAAGGGAACACGCACTGCGTCGATGACAACACTATGGGGAACGCCTCTTAATGTAACGTGTCTGAAGTATGAATGAAACTAATCCAATCCTATTGGGGTTGCGTGGTGACGTAGGTAAATGGACGTAAACAACGATGTAAAAAGGTGAAATAATCATCTGACTAAGCTGGCAGAGAATGCATGGACAGTTCTCGAAGGGGCTGCCTGTGTGCATTATGAGCAGCTCGCTCCTCCGTGGAGCCCTCAGGAATCGATGTCTGTATCCCACCGCCAAATGCGCTTGGGACACATCTGTTTCCAGGGAACACACGCTGCAGTG